GGGATGTGCTGAGGAGGACGGGAGGAGAGGTGAGAGCAGCCGGAGGGAGGGGGCGGGAGGGGGAAGAGGCACCTCTCACGGAACCAGATTTCTCTCCAAGGTCTGGGCGAAGAAGGCGTTTTACGAGGTCTGCACACAGAGGTAAGTGCAGAAAGAGAGTGACGTCTGCTGAGTTTAGAACCAAGTGACTCAGAGGCGGCACAAGTTCCCCAGCCCTCCTCTGCCTCTCGACTGAGTAGGGGGCGAATTCAGCTACAGATGATTACACCTGTTAACCTTTATGCATTTCTTCCCCCAGCCTTTATATAGGACCAATTCATTCCCTCATCGAAAAAATATTTACTGAGCACGATCACTGTATTGGGGCGTAGCAGTTAAGAGGACAGTCCTGCATGCAGCCCCAAGTCTGGGCAGGCGGGAGAGGCACTGAGCATGGGCAGACAGGAGTGTGGTGCGTTGGAGAAGGGGCAGTAGAAGGCGCTGCAGAAAGAACCAACCAGATCTGAAGGCATCAGTGAGGAAGGTGATGTGGAAGATGAAGAGGAGGGTGAGAGAATAAGTTCCAGGCAAAGAGAACCATGTTATCAAAGCCTTAAAGTCGTTAACGTGTCAGTTCAGGCGAGAGATGATGGTGCTTGAAAGAGAGTAGCTTCTGTGGGGACTGAGAAAGGTGACAGGTTTAGAAACTCTGGATCCTCCTAGAGCAGTGGTTCTCAACCTTCCTCATGCCGCGGCCCTTTAATACAGTGCCACATGTTGTGGTGACCCCTGATCATAAAATTATTTTCGTTGCTACTTCATCACTGTAATTTTGCTCCTGTTATGAATCATACTGTAAATATCTGATATGCAGGATGTATTTTCATTGTTACAAATTGACATAATTAAAGCATAGTGATTAACCACAAAAACAATATGTAATTATATATGTGTTTTCCGATGGTCTTAGGTGACCCCTGTGAAAGGGTCGTTGGACCACTAAAGGGGTCGCGACCCACAGGTTGAGAACCGCTGCCTTAGAAGGACGTGGCTCTCTCAGCTCCTGAGGAATATGACTCAATGAAATATCCAGCAGGCAAGGGAGTGTATTAGTTTACTGTTGCTGCTGTAACATGTTACCACAAACTTAGTGCTTACAATAACACAGATTATTTTTTTAATCTAGAAATTAATATTATTTGAGTTGGTAAAATGCTCTTTTGCACACACATTTCCGGCATCTGGTACAGTTAACCGAATGTCCATTTTTACGCAACTCTCACACAGAATGGATTCCACAATGTCCTCTCTCATCTGAGCATTAAAAACGTTTGACGTTCTTCTAAGTCTTCACAACATCCCTGTGAGGTAGGCGGTAATGACTCCATTCTACACATGGGGAGGTCTAGGCACGGAAAGGTAGTAGCTCCTGGGAGGGGAGGCCGCAGGTCTGCGCTCCGCTGCCTCCACGTTCCGGGTCCCAGCGCCGCCGCCGCCCTGCGCGGAGGGATCTCACACAGCCACGCTCCTGTCTAGTGCAGAGTTAAGCGAGGGTCTTCGCAGCTCCTATGTTTGACTCCTAAATCCAACCACTCTCCCTGAACTGGAAAGACAAAAATATGACTAAACCTCAGTCGGGATTATTTGCTCTATTTAAGACTTTGAGGAGTCGTCTTACATTTTGTAGCTGTGCGAGCGCTCAAACCCCTTTGGAAGACAATTTGAAACGGCATCAGGGATGATGACATTTTGAGAACGGAACATAGAAATCAATAGTTAATAGGTTTGAATCAAAACACAAAACTACACGCTATGGTAGAGTGAGAATAAAACCCAAATCGACGGAGAGCAGTACTTCCCCGTGTCTGACAAGGCCTCGCACAGAGCAGGTGTCCAGTAAGTTTCTTGGACGAAGGCCAGGTGACACATGTTCGACATGCCTGCTACTGATGACACCCACACTGGGGAGAAGGGCAGGGCAGGAGGCCCGGAGGCCACAGGGCCGGGGGCTCCCTGGTAACACAAAGACGCTCGATCGTCTGGGTGTGGATGCTCCTTTTCTGCCAAATAAAAGTTGGGGTTGTAAACACCCAGCCCCCCACCCCAACTTATACTGCCGTTCATGTAAATAGATACGTAAATAGGATAAATACATGGAGAGCCTTATCCGGAAGTGTCTTGAAAACTGGATGCTCATGCGCCGACCGAGGACGGGAATGAGGAGCTTACAGCTGTGCTGCTTCTGTGTTTCAGTTAAAATGTATCTCTAAGGCTGGAAAGCCCTGGTGCCCACGCCCCTTCCGGAGGAAGAAACCTGATTCTGAGTAATGAGTCCACCTCCCCCTGGAGCGCGGCTTGGTTACAGCCTAAATACAGCGGGGCCTCAAAGGACGGCGGCTGCCTGACACCTAGGCTGCTGCAGCCTGGCTCGCCCAGCGCACCCTGGAGCGCACTGCTGATATTGCTTATTCGCTCCTCGTCCAAGAACAGATGGCTCCGGGAAGTTGGGTGGGGGGCGGGGGTGGTCCGTTGGTCCAGAGCTTCTGACCATTTGGTCTTGAGGGATATTCCCGAAGAGGAAATGGTGAGTATAAAATGATTAAGAAAATCCATCCTGCAGAGTGGCCGGCGGAGGCCGTTTTGTGCCGGAGGTCATAGCTCCACCTTGACCCCTTTTACGAAAGGCAGGCCCGTGGGCACCCACTTCTTATACTCCAGGGCTCGTCTCCAAAGAAGCGGGTCAGTGAGATTTCCTCTTCCGTCCGGTCGCCGAAGAACCGCCACACCGCCAGGCGTAGCCCCCGCCGCAGATGGGGTTGCAGAGCATCCCCTGGGTTCAGATAGCCCAGTAAAACCACCCCACGGAAGAAGGGTGCCGGAACTAGGCCTCACCGGAGTGTGAGTTTCTGATTGTTCATTCTGCACCACGTGGTTGAAGGTGGAACCAGCCTTGAACATCGCCGCTTCCCTCAGACGTTCCCCGGAGACACCATCAGCAGCCCAGGGCGCGGAGCCCGGCGACCGGCCCCAGTGCTGGCCAGAGGAGGCTCTCGAGGGTGAGCTCTGTCCAAGAGGACAGGGCAGCCACGGTGTGCCCCAGGCTGTGATTCGGGGGGAAGGAGTCCAGGGACAGGCTGTTGGGGGTGAAAGGGCAAGGGCTATGCCTTCCATCTCACCCCGGATCCTCCATGTTGGGGCAGTGGCCATGTGCTCAGGAAAGTACCTTCTTCCCGGAAGCCGGGATTTCTTTAAACTAACCAATGACAATCAAGGAACATGCGCGCCATAGAGATGACCACATCCTGTGTAACAAGACCCGACTTGCGCCTGCCCAATCGGCAGGGCCCACAGTCAGCTCCCCTCCCCTCACTCCACCACCCCTATTAAAACCCTGATTTTCTCATGGGTGGCACTCTGCCTCCGATCGCTGGGTCGCCTGGTAAGTGTTCAGAATAGTGGACGAGGACAGGGAGCACATACACCAGCCAAAGTGAGTCCAAGAAGACTGGCCGGAACTCAGGGCACCCCGCAGCCGAACGCGAAGCCAAGGAGGCAGGCTGGACGGCGGTGTGGTAGCGCGGCGGCCGGTAGAGCAGCAGCAGCAGCAGCAG